TGTGGTTGGTGTGCCCTTGATTAAAGCCATGTATGGTTCGTCAGCCGTTGATCTTGTTGTTCAATCATCGGTCGTGCAGGCCATCATATGGCTCACCATTCTTTTATTCGTCTTGGAATTTCGACGAACGGGGTCGATAGACATAGTTTCAAGTAGTACTACTGTCGACACTCGAGTTCAATCGGTTGATCCACAAGGGAAAGATGTAGAAGCCATGGAGGAGATAACAATAACTACTAGGCCTTCCTTTTGGTACTTGATGAAGGCTGTGTGGGTGAAACTTGGGATGAATCCCAACTCCTATGCAGTTTTTATTGGTATTGCTTGGGCTTTTATAGCAAACAGGTACTGATTAAATATATGCATCTATCTATATAATATGCAAGAAATTATTTATTAATTATACTTGAGTATTGATTAACTAAATATTTTACTTTTTTTCATATACTTCTCTGTAAATTAATTAATTAATTTATGGGTGCTGCAGGTGGCATATTGAGTTGCCAAGCATCATGGAAGGATCTGTTTTAATCATGTCAAAAGCTGGTACAGGAACTGCTATGTTTAGCATGGGTGAGTAATCGCTAATTAACCACACACACACACACACACACACACACACACACATATATATATATATATGTTAATGAATATATCTATACGGTAACGTTTTGACTCTATATATCATGCATGCAACGTGCAGGTATCTTCATGGCACTGCAGGAAAAATTTGTAGCCTGTGGGACGAGCCGAACAATAATTGGGATGGTTTTGAGGTTTATTGCTGGACCGGCAGCCATGGCGATTGGCTGTATTGCTGTGGGCTTGCATGGTGATGTTTTACGTGTTGCTATCATTCAGGTAGTTTACTTGCAAATTTATATATCTCAGAAAGTTAAATAATGAATCAAGCATGCATGGCCTATAAAAGTGGTGTTATATATTTAATAGAGTAGTGGTTGCATGTCATATATCGTACGTGGAATAACATAAAGGTTGTTCCGATGAGCTGCCCAGCAAATTAAGCGGCCAATTTCTTCTTCACTAATTAACATCCTACCTAATATTCCTTTTATTTGCATAACTAATTTTGAGAAAAATGAGCTTCCGTTTTGAGAAATTATATTGGGAAATGTTAATCACACATTTTCCTTTTCTACACATTCAATTTTAACATTGGCTTTCAAATTGAATGAACCAAACGAAAACAACAAATATATGCATCTCTAAAACAGATTGGACAACAATACAAACATACTCATGCACGTATATAGTATATTAATCAAGCTTTTTTTAATGAAGCTTTTTATTTAATTTTGAAGAACTTAATTTGATGCTTTCATTTATGGTGTTAACTTTCTGTGCACAAACTACATATATACAAATTAAACAAATTCAAATTAAGTAGCAGTACCGCACTGAACGTTTATGCATGCTCACTAATTTAAAATTTTAAATGAATTTTCAAATAAAATGATCGCATATCACCCTTCAACAAATCTCATAGCTTGTATTTGTGATATTCATAAATAAAATCTCCTTTTTGCATGATAATTTTATTTTTTAGATGATAAATGTTTTAGTTTTTCGGATCAAATGATAAATGTTTAATTAGATGAGATATCATCATTTATATTCAATGTTGCAGGCAGCATTACCACAATCCATTACCTCCTTCATATTTGCCAAAGAATATGGACTCCATGCAGAAGTGCTCAGTACAGCGTACGAACCTCTTTTTATACACATCTATACTCTTAAATTCTTGTACACTTTAAATACGAAAAAAATATAATCAACGTACGAGAAACACCGAAATATAATTTTCGGCAACAATATTTGAAATTGAATGCTTTTTATTCTTCTAACTTTGATATATTGTGTTGCAGGGTAATATTTGGCATGTTGGTGTCCCTTCCGGTGTTGATCGCTTACTATGCAGTTCTAGAATTCGTGCATTGACAACCGTCTCTCTCAGCTATATACATACATATGTGTTTCAATCAATGGATCGATCGAGGGGAAAGGGTTGCTGCCTTGCTGCTCCTCTCTCCTTAATTTGTTTTTTTTTTTTTTGCTTTAATTTGGTTTTCCATATATCAAGGTCACTATTGGGACTAATATTAAAATTAGTCTTATAGTTGCCAAAACTTGTAACCTAGTTAAAACTATCGTCCTAATCTAAAAAGGCTTTAATTAGACTTCAATCCTGAAGTTTTACGATAAATTAGAATGATTTTTTTAGGGTTGTGCTATACACACACCTCATTTTACTTCTCACACACCCCTTGATAATTTCCGTCCGTTAATCTTCTTCAATTTATCCGATCCGACGGTTGAAAATTAAAAAGGTGTGTGAGAAGTAAAATGGGGTGTGTGGATATCACACCCCTTTTTTTATGACAGTTTTGGTAATTTCGGAGCGATAAAAGCTCAAGTGGCAAGGTGAAAATTTATCCTCTGACAAAAATCACATGAGCAACTGGGATCTAAGAGGGAAAAACTTAAACTCAAAGGAAAGACTATTAATTCAATGGAAAACTTATCCTTTGATCTAATTATTTCAATCATTTTTGTGCCTTTATTAAAAGCCCAAATTCAAGAATGGGCTTTTCAAACTGAACTGGATTATCCAAGCCAATCAAAATTGGGCTGGAATTATAAAAGACACAGAAAATGATATAGAATAATAAATATTGGCTCTTTATGATTACGGACGAATGTCTCTTCAAAATACTTTGTTACCAATTTAGAGGATTCCTTGTTTATAATCAAAATCATTCATATAATAAATCATATTGCAAATATCATCTTTGCAACATGAACAATTTCAATTGTAAACACGAAATTTCATAAATTGATAACAAAGAATCATGAGGAGTCCTCCTCAGCCAATTGTTAATTCCTATGTATAAATAGGATGCGGATTGTCTGCCCTCCTATTTCGGTGTCTTTCTCATCCCCTCTTATTTTGTGCGATCACGGTTAAGCCACGTCAACATTTTATATTAATTTTTTTTATAGAGATAATAAGACAAAAAACAATAAGAATATAAAATGTTGACGTGGCTTAACTATGACCGGACAAATAGAAGGGGATGGGAAGGGCATCCAAACAGGAGGGCAAACAATCTGCCTCCGTATAAATAAAGTGTATTACTTGACAATGACATGAAAAATAATTAAGAGTAGGTTGTTTGGAAAACAAGTTGTGAGATATTTCTGTTTAGATTTCGGGTCAATGTTTCATTGAGCTTGTCAAGGAATGTTATTCTTTTCTCCTTTTCTTTACTTTTTACCTTTCATTTCTTTTTCTTTTATTAGTAATAGTATATGCAATATTTTTCTTTTTCTTTTCTATTGGAACTATTATTCCCCCTTCAAGTCATTAACTTGAAATTCTAAAGAAGAAAAAATATGCTCCTGACAAAACAAAAGGGATTAAAAGATGTCATTTTAAAAGGAAAACTCATTATTTAGAATCGAGTATTGAGGTTGACAATTTAGTATCGAGTATTGAGGTTGAAGACCTCTAATCCAACTATTTAAAATTTCACAATCCACAACAAACTGTTTGAGCTTATAATGTCATTTTATTCAATCACCAAAAATAAATGAAAACGTGTAGGAGACGAAAATTTTGTACCAGATTGACTTCTTTATAAACTATTTATTATTATTATTGTTGTTGTTTTGTTGTTTTGAGTAGAATGATAGCATTAGTGAGATGAATACTTAATTATTAGGATGAAGAAAATTAGTAATGATCAAATATGTACTAGAATGAATAAACATGATTGTTTTTTTTTTTTTAAACATCATATGCAACTATTTAGTATTGAGCTTATAGTGACCTCTTACTCATTTTTCCATATTAGAATGGAATGACGTCAAAAGTTTGGTGTACAGTAAATGTTTTATGCTATAAGGTTGCAATTCATAAGTAATTGTATATTTTATGATACAAAAAATATACATATAATATGATTATACAAGTCCCAAAATACAACCCCACAGTCACCCATCAATATATACAATAATAATTTGAAAGAAAATAAATAAAACCCATAACGTGAATAAACTTACATGATAAAAAACAAAAAACCAAACATAAAAATCTTTGCTAAGCTTTCTATCATGTTATTCTCATGTACTCAAAATTATTAATTATTAGTGAAATGTCGGAACTTTTCATAAGCACTTCTACGAGAAGGGCTCCTATGCACTTATGCTCGAATATAAAAATTGTATTAGTGAATGTTTAAGTGTTTCTCCGTAAAAGTGTATTTACGACTTAATAATACTTTTGATTTTTTTGTATCAAACATAATCACAAGCCCTTCTAGTAGTCAAAATAGAGAAGAGCTTGGCTATTTAAGATTAAGATAAGTTCATCCTAAAAATATTTTGTAGCTTATTCACATAACTTCGTTAGTTCATTCTTATGATTGAATGTTTATATTATAAAATACTCTGTAAAGATTATTTCTGTAAAAGATAAATTAAAATTAAGATCATTTAGTCAATTAATTATAGCAAATAGATAGACGGTTCATAATACTTTTATCAAATTCGTTCATCCGTTTTTTTATACACTTTGATGACTAAACAATCTTAATTTTAGTTGATTTTTTTTTACTGATTTTTATATTAATGATCTTTAATATGAACAATTTCGAATCTAAACACGAGGTTTTTATTTTTATTTATAACAAACGATATTATCTACACTAAGAGAGAGGGGTGGGGCTTAGCCTCAAATGAGCTAGCAATAATGCGGTTCAAATTCGAACGTAAGACCTCTCACTTACATATGAAAATGAATACTATTAGACCATAATACTAAGTGAGAGGTCACCAGGTATTGTAAGTAGTAACTTTTCCTCAGTCCTTGAGGAACAAGTCTTTCTCATCAAAGTAAGGTTTCTTACTTTTCCAAAAACGAGCCCCAAATCAGGCCAACAATAATTCTGGTTATATTCACACCAAGAGAAGAACAAAGATCGTGAGAGTAGTGCTTCCCCACTATTTATTTAATTTTATTTAAATAATATTGCGCGTGTTATTCGGTTGCATCTTAACAAACACCCTCTCTCTGTCTCTCTCAATAGTCAAGGCTCTTCCTTTTCTTCCTGCCTCAATTTGTTTGACAAGTCGACGTTGTCATGATTGGTGAATGGAAATCACCCAATCCGAATCCCCATGCTGATACTTCTGCTGCTTGTTTCTTCTGGGTGCCTGTGATCAATCACTCATTCATCCATCATCCTGCTTTCTGCAACACATTTTCTGTCCCCTGTAAAAAGTAAATACCAGAAAACAGAGCTCAGCATTCATTTTTCGTCAACGAAAACAAGAGCCAAGGACGAAAAGAAAGAACAGAAATCAGGTTGTTGCAGGATTTCTGTTTCTGGGTTGTCTCCGTTTTCATGGAGGATGAAGTCCTCCTCCGTAAGCACGCATTTAATACTCATATTATTATGCTTTTCTTGGTCACTTCTTGATTTTTGTATTTGACCAATATTGTAATTTGTTAATTGGTACTCAACATTTTGATCATAGAAACAGATACTTGTATTGTTTTCTTGTTTTCTTGTGATTTTTCGGGCCATGAGATTATCTCGAATTCATCCTTCTTTGAATTTCTATGCACATATTTTCTGGAAGTTAGGTGTTTCTTCTTGAGCTCTTGAGACAATTCGGAATCTTTATTCTTTCAGCTCTTGCTTGTTATTATTGGGGGAGGGGATTCCGAAGCGAGTCCTCGAGTTCAAGAGTATATACTCTTAACTGCTTGACCTACAAACCCTTGTAAATTTTAGTTCAATCATGATTACCCTAGCAGAAGGTAACAATTATTAGGTAATTAGGACAATGGTTTTAATTTCTATGCAGATCGCTTGGTTACAAGTACTGAATTTTTTTTTCTTTCTGAAAATGGCACACATGTTTACTTCTTTATCCAGCCATCTTTGTTATTTTGACATGTTTTTGTGCACTTCTTCGTTCCATTCTCTTCGCAGGTAACTTTACGTGCAGATCTGAGAAGCGGGAAATTGTGTTTTTGTAGCATTCTCCCGGCAGCTTCTCTGCTGTGTATACTGTTTCTCATAGTGAGTGCATACATATCATCAGATTACAGAGAGGTATGTGAATGCCATTTTTTTTTCCCGACTCCATTCTGTATTGTTGTGTTAACTCCAATATCTAGCTTACAAAATTATCACTTTTACTGACCTGAAAAATTTTGGGTCATGTTGCACAGAATTCATCATCGTTTTGGAGAGTCACAAACAATTTGCAGAATCTAAAGTACAAATGCATGGTTTGTTTATCGTCCCACACAGGTCTCATACATCTTTCCTATCAGATGAGTTGTTGAGATTTATTACTTTATAGTATTTTTATTGGTTTTAGAATCAGAAAAAGCCTTATGGAAGTGAGCCACTGCCTCGAGGCATTGTTGCCAAGACTTCTGATCTGGAAATGCGGCCGTTATGGAGTGCTAAAAAGGTAAGGTTTTCAGAATGATGAATGGAAGCTACTGAACTATTCAACTGATTGTGTAACATTGCATTCCTCCAAGTGACAGTGCTTCAGGTTTATCTAAATTTCGACTCTTACACTGTTTGACCAGAAGCCTTCAGTTAACTTGTTGAAGAAGAAAGATGCAAATTCCTCAACTAGTTTATTTGCCATGGCTGTCGGGATAAAGCAAAAGGATCTTGTTAGTAAAATGGTCAAAAAGGTATATCCTGTTAAACAATGCTCACAAAGGTAGTCCATACTAAGTACCGATAATTCTTTTTCATTGTTCATAGCTGCATAAGTAACCGATTTTCACTCGCTAATCCATGTTGCAGTTCCTGTCTAGTGGTTTCGTTGTGATGCTCTTCCATTATGATGGCATCGTCGATGAGTGGAAGGAATTTCAATGGAGTGACCAAGTTATTCATGTATCTGCAGTCAGTCAAACTAAATGGTCCTACTCTTTATCTTTGCATGCCTAATATCAATTTCGTCAAAGCTTCAGTATTGAAATTTGTTTTTCTGGTTGATGCCTAGGTGGTTTGCAAAGCGTTTCTTGCATCCTGACATAGTTGCCGAATATAGTTACATTTTCCTCTGGGATGAGGACCTCGGAGTTGACTATTTCCAGCCCCAACGGTATACACATTGTGGGGCTGGCTGCATCTCTTTTCACAAACTTATACATTATACCGACTGGTTATTAATCCCATTCTGTCAACTTGTTGTTTAATACTACTTTTAGGTACATATCCATTGTTCAAAAGGAAGGGCTTGAGATATCACAACCTGCACTGGATTATTCAAAATCAGAGGTGCATCATCAAATTACTACGCGTTTGAGAGGATCGGTAGCACACAGGTCTCTTACACTGTTAAATGATGAACTCCCTTGGGAAATATTGTTGAATTTAACATTATTCTACGTTTTGCAATGTTAAAATTGCTTTAGTAAGTTGATGCTGGTTAATTTCAAGCACCCATAATTTCAAACAACTTGATATAATTCATGTTGTATCTGCAGAAGGACTTACAAGTCAAGTAACAATGGGAAAGGTTGTTATGAGAGCAGTAGAGCTCCTCCTTGCACCGGGTAAAAACTGTGGTTTCCATACGATTGTTTAGTGTAGTTGCAGAAGTACACCATCCACTAATTAAAATGAAAATGTGCAATGCATTTGCTGCAGGTGGATAGAAGTGATGGCTCCTGTTTTCTCTCGAGCTGCCTGGCGTTGTGTTTGGTATATGATCCAGGTACGTGTGTTAACTTCTTTTGTCTGGGCCCCTGGAACTCAACTCAAATAGCTGGTTTTCTCTTCGCATAGAGTCAACGACGGCTTAGATTGCACCGGATTGATTATGTTAATTGCAGAATAACTTGATTCATGCTTGGGGACTAGATATGCAGATTGGTTATTGTGCACAGGCAAGTTCTCATGCTTTGCAAAAAGAACAGACCTGCATTCTTTCTTGTTTGATTTTGAATGTATATATAATGTTGCAATAGGGAGATCGAACTAAAAAAGTTGGAGTTGTGGATGCCGAGTACATAATCCATCACGGCCGCCCTACATTGGGAGGAGCCTCAGATGATCAAAATAATCAGGTGACGAAAGATAAAATTCATAACATTGTATTGCTGCAATCGCATTCTTTACATTTTTATAATGTTTTGGTAATTGCATTGGCAGGGATCATCATCATCATCCTCAAAATCTACAGGAAACGACCACAGAGTTGATGTAAGTCTCTTGACAGTCGACGCGGCAATATTGTCTTTAATATATAGTCTTCATCAGATTGATTAATCTGTTTTCTTTTGTTCTTGTTGTAATGTTGCAGGTGAGGCGGGAATCGTTCAATCAAATGAAAGTGTTCAGAAGGAAATGGGAACGAGCCGTCGGGAACGATAAATGTTGGATTGATCCCTACAAGTAGCCACAAATTAATTAGTGCTTGAGCGCTCCTATATATATGAATATCGTCATCCATCGTCCTTTATTTGGAGGAAGCTCAGAGCAGTTGGTGTAAAATTTGGAGATCTTCATACCTAACATTACTTCTGCATAAGACTTGAGAGGCAGTGACACACCCCGTCCCCAAGGAGGGTATGCTGGCCATCACGTGAGAGTGACGTAACCATTTACACAGTTCGGAAGCTTTAAAAAAAAACAATTACTAAGATGAAACACCCGAGGGTGAGTCCTACATTTGTGAATTCTGTCAGAACACCGTTGGATTCCTCATGGCCACCAAAGCTCTGCTATCTAGAACCTGGAGGGGCGCAAAACAAAATTGAGTGGTTCAGTAAAACAAGTTTTTCGAAAACCTTACATTTAAAACATTTCTAACCCCTCGCCGTAAAACCTGTATACTTTCCCAGAAATTTATTATAAAAACATAAATATATAAATCATCAAAACTCCGCTCACCATCTATCAACATAACATTTCAGAAAGAATATGCCATGCCATGCCAAAATATAATATGAATGCATCAATATAAATCAGGTGAAATAATAAATCAACTGGAGACCCTACCGTGGTCCTGTACGGCTGATTCTATAGCTCAATATCCCATCCAGCCGGAGTCACCAATTGTGACCTATACGGCCATGCCGGAGTCACCAACTGTGACCTGTACGACACTACACTGCACATAAGTCGGAACTATCTATAGTAGTCTGTACGACTAAGATGGTGAAATAATACGCTCTAGTGCTTCTCTCATCAATCATCTGTGCACATAATCTAAGGTCACCTACCAGTCGGAACCCCTCTAATGGTCTGTACGACTGGCATGTCGGAACCACCTCTAGTGGTCTGTACGACATCCATCTACTTGGATCCAAGGCGAGCGTGCGGTGTGGTGAATAATATAAGCACTAACACCTAGGGTGCAGGTTATGAGCTTCCAATGCAATTCACATAAAATAAATCCTATGAATAATGTAAAAACTCACCTGTGCGTCCACAGCGTCAATTCACATATATATGCATCAATTATCAATTCGTATAACTCATATCATTCATATCATTCATATTATGCATGCATGGCATTTTTGAAACATATTTTCATATAATTGCATTTTTTGGGAAAAACAGTAGTATATAGGTAATACGAAAACAAAACTGCCCACTCACCTGGAGTTCGCCCTACAACTCCCTAGCACAATACGTCAAGGCGTCATGACGATCGGCGCCTAAAACAATAATCAAATACAATCTTAGAAATCATATCGATAGAATATAACTTATATAAAACACGTCACTACGCAGTTCGATCCGGAAGATCTGCAACTCAGATTTCAAATCCATAACTTCCAGAGGTCCACAATATACCTCTAGGACAACTTCCTAAAATTTCATTACCATCCAACGGTCGGATCTCCGTCAATTTCCAAAACTAAGTGACGGTTAACATTCTATTTTATGAACTTACAACTCCAATTCCGGAAGATCCGTAACTCGGATTCCCAATCCGTAAGTTCCTATAATCCTCAAATATTACGTATTACAACGTATCAAAGTTTGGTGACGATCCAACGGTGGGATCGTAAATTCACATTTTCTCCTAACCACGAATCGTAACCAACTTAGGTTCAATTACTCAATTTACGTCCATCAATTATCAAAACCGAACCTAGAACCTTAAACACATGCTAAGAATGACATTGGCGGGCCATTGGCCACGCGCCGCCGCACGGGCCGCCGCGGTGAATACTATATAAACGTTATTTAAAGCATATAACCAACAATTCTCAAAAACTTCTCATACGGTGCTTAATTTGGGTATATGAATATACCACAGTGACCTACTCGACGTCACGAACGTCGACAAATTTTTAGGATTAATTTTGGGCTTGTCACGCGCCAAGGACAGGCACGGGTACATGCGCGCCCACGCGCGTCTTCTTTCTGCGAGCTCGCCGGACTGAACTTTCCGGTGGCCGGAAAACTGGGCAATTTTCAATTGCCTTGTTCTCCCACGTTTCTCAACCATTTTCTTCGAACTTTACATCAATTTGAAGCCCTAAACATGTAGTTTCACGATAGACTAGTTTCAAGGTCTAAAAATCACGAAATCTCACCAGAAAAATTCCAAGAAAACCGGCCAAAGTTGAACCCAGTGATCCGACGTCCAAAACCTTCAAATGAAGCACTCCGAGCTTCCTTGGGACCTCACTAAGCTCACTACAAGCTTAGAATTCCCTGAAAATCGACATATTACGATTGCATGAATAGTGACATAAAATGGAGGTTCGGGTTTCACGTGATCTCGAAGGTTTCACTTCCTAAAACCAACATCAATCGACTCAGGAGCTTGAAAGGATGAAGATTCATACCTTTTTGGCGTCGATCCGAGGAAGTTCGAGGGTTTTGGGCTTCGTCCGTACGTTCGAGGGTGAGAGAGAGAGAGAGTGAGAGTCGTGAGGGAGGAGAGAGAGGGTACGGGAAAGAGAGAGAAAGAGGTTTGACATGTGTGGTTCATCCAAAGTCATCACCATCCATTTTATTTAACTCCCTAACCACAAAAATACATGTAACTTTTAATCCAATAGTTTAGGAAGTATTTACTTAGTCCAAATAACAAGCCACACACACATACCTTAATACCCGTCAAGGGTAATTCCGTCATTTCACATTCCCGTCAAAAGTACCTCTGGGACGGGCTGTGACAGGCAGGCCAAAGCAAGGTTGTATTGCCTTTCTTTTTACACAGTTGAAATGTATATGCGAACACAGAAATCAACTCCAGTTTTATACTTGTGAGAGGCTGCTGCTGCTGTAAATCTGTAAATTCAACTTTTTTTTGTGTTGGGATGCTTCGTCGGCCGGCCACCTGTTCATTGCTGACAACTCCCCTTGATGCTGATGATCTTGCCGGCTGATAATACTGCTGCCGTCCGATTGAGCTTTCAACGTTCTTGTAAAGCTCAGCTTACACTCTGGAACAACATGTGCGCGATCGACATGGCTCGCGAGTTGGACAGTCGATTCCCTAGAGATGGCATGTGATTCATTTGAAAGTTCCTTTGGTCATGAGCTACACTACGACTAGTACCACTCACTAGTTCTGAGTCTACCGAATGCAATGAGATAGATACGAGAGAAAATACACACCATCAAACATGATATTTCTCTCTTTTCCTTTTGAAAAAGCCATGTATTGTAACGTTGTATTTTCATCCAAAAAAAAGAAGGGTCCAAATTAAAGTGCAATGAAGCGAACATATTGCCCTAACCAATTGGACTACCGCTCATGACCTTGGTTGGACCAGTGACCAGCAAGGTGGGGAAGTTGAGAAGAAAATAAGGGCATACATGATGGAAGCGCCCACCATTTGATGGTCATATGTCCTTTGAGCAGCACATGGCTTGTTGGCATATAACTACGTCATCGCAATATTCACAAAGGTCAACGACATTCCCTTTTTTTCCGCCAAAACACTCTTGTGAAGACACCAAAGTCAGATCATGTGGCTCCCAACCCAGAGAAGCTCTTCATTCTGTTTTTCCCTTCCTATTTGAAGGATTATGGTTAAGCCATGTCAACATCTTATATTAAATTTTTATAAAAAGAGAAAAACAAAATAAAGAGTGTGGAAGGAGGAGGGGATGGAATGGAAGAGGATGGATGAGGATGGAAAGAGGAAGGAAGAGAATCCTAGTCCCCAAACCCACCCCACTTACTGCTCACTGCCCGTGCCTATATAGGACTCTTTTGATTCTACAGACCATGTACTGTCATATATTTTAAAATTCCTGCATGACAATGAATATTTGGCTTGAGATACCGTTACAGACTTGCAATATCTATCATCCCGTTGATGTAAGCTACAAACCATAAACATAAAGTTTTGGTCGACTGAGAATTTGAGACTTGCATTTTCACTCAACGATCTACAAGAGGGTATAAAAAAAAATAAAAAATTCCAAGCAATAAAAGTGATGCAAATAATATCCATCCAAGAATTGTAAACCACCACCATCTCAACATCATTGAAGCAAAACTTGGTGGCTATGGCTTAACTGCACCCCCCCCACCCCCACCCAACCAAGCTTCTAGCTACATGCATTAATATCCATCACACTCACACATCCCACCTACTGTTCAATTAAAATCTAATCTACTTAATTCTCCAATCTCCACCACCTGCATCCTGCACTATGCAATCTCCTATCTGTTTGAGGTAACTGAAAAGCCATAGCTAAGCAAGGAGAAGTCTCTCTCTCTCTCTCTCTCTCTCTCACTCTCTCTAAGGTATTCTATATACCCAATGAAATGCTTGAAATTGCAGAGAAAAGCAACAATATATAGTAGATCAAACCATTCACTTTCTCTAAACATCAAGTGGAAAACCAGTAAGCATTGAGTGAAAGCAGAACAAGAAAACATTAGTAGCAACCAGTTTCATTGGAAAACATGAACTAAAACTCATCACAAATTAATAAAATATCAGCACAAGACTAAAATAATAGAACATAGAAGTTGAATCTTAATCCTTGTCATAGAGCAGCTCTACTGACCACTTTTGGAAAAGTCAATAAAATATCATTAAGAACCCCAAATAGCTGCATTAACAAGGACAATGTTCCCTAAAATCCTCACAACTATGCTAATCCTATCTCCAGGCACTGCTTATTGCAGCCAAAACAAAAAGAAAAACAAAAAAAAAAACATTGGAAAATTATCCCACTAGATATAGAAATAAGCTAACCTGGAAATATACTAAATTTCATAACTTATAAACAAACAAATCAAGAACAGATATTCTTTTTTGCCATCCAGACTCCCAACAAAATCAAACATTACCCCTAATTCAACAATTTAATTATAAAATATAGAGAGGAAGAGTTAGATGTGGCATCCAAAGCAATTACAGGTCTTGGGTGTGAAAGAACAGAAACCAAAAGGCCTGTTTGGAATGTTGCAATTGATGGCATAGCAACAAGGAGAAGGCAAGCAAAGACCTTTGGCACCTCCACAACAAGTACACAATGCACAAATCCGAAAGCTCCCCAACTTCCTTCTGGTCTCATTCATCACCAAAGTCTTCATCTTTTCAGCTCCAATCAGTGGCACAAGTGGCTCCACAGCTGCAGACCCATTGGCCTTAAAAGTTCAAAACAAACAAACATGCACTTCAATTCACAGAAAACCCAGAAAAAATCATCACCCATTTGACAAGAAAATGTAAAGGCATCTATGAAATTGAAAGGAAAGTTGGGATCTTTGAAGAGTAACACTCACATGGGTTAAGCTTGCTGCTTCAGTAGTGAAGATAGCAGTAAACAAAAAGAGCAGCAGTAGGAGGAGAGAGAAGGTGACCCCATGAGCATGAGCAGGCATCATGAATTGTTTCTTGAGATGGGTGCACTACTTTGGTTTGTGCTTTTGAGACTTTGAGTGGCAAAAGGTGATGGGAACTTAAGAAAAAATAGAGTGTGAGCTGGGAAGTGGGAAGTGGGTCTTTGATCTTTTTTTCTTAAGAGGCCTTTGATTTGGATTTGGTGGATCATAAATGTTATAGTAAAAAGGGTTTTTAATGGTTATTTGGTTTGAGCTGGTTGATTAGGTGGAGAGCTAAATTGGGTTGGGCGCGAGGAATTTTGGAAAATCAAATGTAAAGAAAAAGACTAGAAAGGGTGTGTGCTGTGAGAGTTAGGTTTGGGAGAAATTGGGAAAAAGGGGGAGGATTTTTTGCGATGACGGCTCTTATCTTAATGTGTAACTTGAATGTGCATGTCTTTGTCCAATACAACTATTATGGTGGTGGCCACACCCAACCCGTTTCCATAGGTGTGAATGTTTACATGTGGAGCAAGTTTTCATACCTCCTAGGGATGATACATTTAATCGTTGAATTTGTGGGAATTTAATAAATCGAAATTTTAAGAATGGTTTTACATATAGTTATGAAGATAAGGGTACCATAGTTATAACTGTCGTTAAATTTGTCACATTAAGATATGTTTTCTAATTTATATGCATTAATATACTTAATTATTTTTTTGTCAAATTTTATTCTCCGATCATAGTTTTTGGCATTGGATGTTGATGTTTTATGGTTAGATTCCTAATTATATAGTATTTTATTTTAATTATAGTTTTTCTTTATATTGTGTTGATCTCATGTGATTAAAATAGTTTCTTTATTAGTTATGAGAAAATATAATAAAATTATTGATAAAATAAAATAACCTGTTAACCGATAAGGAATTCGTTACTCATCTTAAATGATTATGGCCCGTATAGAATAACCCAGTCGCTAATTTGATGGCTAGGGATTTGGATCATTTTTATGATTATGGAGATATTATGACACATCTGTTTTGGACTGAATTGTTGTCATCCCTACTTACATGCAACATGATGTTACTGCGACAATCTTTCATCAAATTATATGACAATTTGTGATAAATTTAAAATACCTTGAAAAGTGTAATTATTTTACTGCGGTTCAAGTCATTCGCCTTCTTTGGACCAAGAGTATCTCCTTATCCTCATTGTATAACAATGATGGGATGACAATTTAACCCCACAAATCCGATTCCCGCAAATAATCGATCCGAATGATTCGATTTCAAAGATTAAATTTTAAGTATTTTACGGTTATGAATAATCATAGGTTAAATATTAAAAATCCCACTGGGTTTGGCCTGGCCTGACCTAGTTGATGAAGGTTGTAGCTTTTTTTGTATTGGTAGATGACACCACCACGACATTATTGCTTGGATATGTGCAAAAAATAAAAATTGTATTTGAGCACATGTGCTATATGCTAGTTATCTACGAAGTAATAATAATCATATGAGAATTGTATGTTTGGGGAAAAAAATGCAGGTATGGGACAGATATTGTATGACATTTTTTGCTAAGAAACCGTGTGACATTTGATATAACAAAACAATGAGTATCACTCGTGATTTTTAGTTGGTTTTGTAAATTCGGACATAAATTATCGTTAAACATATTTATTTTTACCTTTGCCTCACTTTAAAGTTTTGAAAATTAATGTAAGACTTTCCGTTGATATTCTCGATGGTGGAATCTAATTTAGCAATATTTTGGGCCTCACTACTTTATATTTAGTTTTCGGCTTGAATATTTTACTAAATATACAGTTGTTGCTATATAAATTGAAAAACCGCTTTCAAATACTTTATAAAGTTTTCCTACTGCACATGGAAAATATTTCGTGAAAATTAAAAGTTTGGATTTTTCACCAAAAACGTGGGTAAACACTCACTATTTGTAGCCAATTTTGCAAATTCATACGGAAATCATTGTTGAATATATTTGTTTTCTTCTTCGCATCACCGTGAAGTTTTAAAAATTAATATAAGACTTTCCGTTGAGGTTCTTAAGGGTGGACCGGAACCCCATTTTGGCAATGTTTTGTGTCTTACTACTATATTTTTCATTTTTTTTAGTTTTTGGCTTAAATATTATATCAAGAATACATTTTGCTCAATAAATGGTAAAGCAGCTTCCAAATGCCTTAAAAAGTTTTCTTGATGCTCACCAAAAATAATTCGTGCAAATAAAGAGTTTGCATTTTTTACAAAAAAAATGTGTTAACACTTACTGTTTGTAGTCGGTTTTACAAATTTGTACATAAATCCGCATTGAATATGTTTGTTTTCTCCTTCGTCTCACCATGCAATTTTGAAATAAGTGGAAGACTTTTCGTTGATATTCTTGAAGGTTGAACCCCATTTTGGCACTATTTTGGGCCTCACTACTATAATTTTCACTTACTTTTTTCAATTTTCGGCTTCAATATTATACTAAATATACATTTTTGGCTCAATAAATCGAAAAAAAAAACACTTTCAAATGCCTTATAAATTTTTCCTTGATGTTCACAAAAAATATTGTGCCAAAATAAAAAAAACAATATATCATTTTCACAAAAAACGTGGGTGCCTATTTTGGCAATGCTTTGGGGCTCACTACTATATTTTGTTAGCTTAAGGGTTGGTTTGGTATTGTTGTGTTTTGAAAAAAAAGCTGCTTCTGCTATGCTGTGAGAATAAGCGGATGTGAAATAAAGCTGTAGAGTGTTTGGTAAACTTTTTTGTAAAAATGCTTTTGAAAAAAAAACAGTATTATAGTGTTTGGTAAACTTTTATGTAAAATAGACGTGAAAAAAAAACCGGTTTTTCAAAGTTGGGTTTTGCAGCTTCTTGTTTTTGGCTATTTTTCACCCAAAACTGTGAAAAAAAGCTGAAGTTAAATGTTTACCAAACACAAAAAAGCTCCCAGCTTTTTTTATACCAGTTTTTTTTCAGAATCACCTCAGTACCAAGCCAGGCCTAAATATTCTACTAAATGTACATGTGCTGCTTAATAAATTGTAAAACCACTTTCAAATGCCTTATAAACTTTTCCTTGTGCTCACAGAAAAAATTTCGTGAAAGTAAAAATTGCATTTTCCCCAAAAAAATGGGTTAACACCCACAATTTTCTAATCGATTTTAAGAACTTTTACCATATTTGTTATAAGCCCAAGTTAAAGTCATTCTATAAGTTTTCATTATTTTTTTATTTTCAACTTTAAAAATCAACGAAAAATAGTTTCGGGTGTTAATAAATGATAAAATCACATGCAAAGGTCTTGCAAAATTTTCGTTATAACCCACGCAAAATATTTCCTAAAACTAAAAATTTCAATTTTTGTTCACAAAAATTGAGTTATAACCCACATTTTCCAATCAATTTTGAAAACTTTTACAAGATTCATTAAAAGCCAAAATTTAAGTCACTCTAGTCGCACCACATGTTTTCTAAAATTAATTTAGGACATTCCAAAGATTTTCGACACCTACAAATCTCTTTGGGTCGCTATTAGTTTATATTATTTTTCTATCTTTCAACTTTGAAAATCAATGAAAAATAGTTTCAAGAGCTAATAAGGGATAAAATAACATGCAAAGGTGTTAAAACATTTTCGTCAATACCCACGCAAAATATTTCCTAAAACTAGAAATTTCAATTTTTTCACAAAAACTATGAGATATAACCCACGTGTACCAAATCGATTTTGAGAACTTTTACAAGATTCATTAAAAGTCAAAATTTGAGTCACTCTAGTTGCACCACATGTTTTCTACAATTAATTTAGGACATTCCAAAGATTTTCGACACCTACAAATCTCGGGGGCTTCTCTATTTGTTTATATTATTTTTCTATTTTTTCAACTTTAAAAATCAATAAAAAATAGTTCCGAGACCTAATAAACGGTAGGATCACATCCAAAGGTCTTGCAACATTTTCATTAATTCCCAAGCAAAATGTTTCCTAAAACAAAAAATTTCAATTTTTTTTACAAAAATTATGAGTTCTAACCCACGTTTTACAATCCATTTTGAGAACTTTAACAAGATTCAATATAACCCAAAATTTAAGTCATTCTAGTCGGACCACACATTTAATTAATTTAATTAAGGACATTCCCAAGATTTTCGTCACCTACAAATCTTTTTGGGAGCCTCCTACTAGTTTATATTATTTTTTCTATTTTTTAATTTTAAATATCAATAAAATAGTTTCGGGACCTAATAAATGTTAGGATCACATCTAAAGGTCTTGCAACATTTTCCTTAACTCCTGCGGAAAATACTTCCCTAAAGTCATGCTTGACAAGTGCAAAAAGATGTGATCTCCACGCATGCAAAAGGAGGCAGGCTCGATGCATGCAAAACGAGACAAAATGCATGCAAGCAAAACGAGACGAACCCGAACTCACATAAAACAAGGCAGGCTCCGCTCACAACTTTTAGCGCACAAAACAAGGCGGCCTCAATGCACGAAAGAAGGCGGCAAGCAAAACAAGATGCACTACGCACACACTAAACGAGACAAACACGGCGCACAAAAAATAAAACAAGCTCTGTTCACAAAAAACGAGATGAACTTTTGTCACGCTAAACGAGACGGTCTCGGCGCACAAAAAAAAACAAGGGAACTTTAACGAAAAGCTCCCGATATTGTTCACTTTAACGAAAAACCACATTTTTACACTAAAAAGTCAATCCTGGTACTATTCACTTTACCCTTTATTTTGTCCTTATCATTAAAACTCAAAGTTTTCAAGTCATTTTCATTAGTTTCCTACAAAACAACTCAGCAAAATAAGACACTTCGCGCCAGCAAATCGGGGCGGGCTCCACTTGAAGAAAACGAGATGGAATTCTACGCACACGAAACGAGGCAGGCTCGGCGAAAGGAAAACGCTCTTTTAGTCGGTTTTCCTCCGCCATATCTGTCGTTAAGTTAAGCCAGTGTCGGACATTTCGGGATTTGGGACAAGACAATGTTTGCAGATGTTTATACGGTGCAATGCAGCAATGCGAAATTCACAAGGTTGAATCTATCAGATAAATGCATCTTCAGGACAATTCTCTGTAAATTTCCAGCAATTGGAAATCAATTTACAGATATCAACTTGCAGATATCCCTCAAAAGATTGTTAACGTAAATGGTTCGTTTTCGAGCCGCTTTTCACTCCTCTCTGTCAATGTTGTTATCTTCTGCACTAGGCATCTGTCTAGGCTCCGACAATGAAACTCTCCTGGGATTTGCTGATCCTGCTTCAACTAGTCCTGATGATGCTAAATTTAATGAAGCCGCCCCCGACGTCGAACCCAACAAACGCCGGGCTGGGGCATCAGCCGAAGATGACGCAGAC